GAACCATAAAATCGGTATAAAACAATTTTTTCTTACAATAAATTCCTGATTCTACTTTTATGGAGCTCAAGAAACTTTTAAATGTTAAATCTAAGTTTCTCTTAGAGATGCTAATATATGCCTTGTCCTGTAACAGGCTTCCAAGTGTGATCAATTGCATATGATTTCAAATGCTAATGAGCGGCCTGATACTGGATTCTGATATTTTGATCATAATTAATGAGGCCATCTAGTTGCTGCTTCTCTATTTTCCCTCTATAAGTAATTTGGGTATACGTATTCTGGTTTTGGTTGTATTATTGCCAAATAAATATTTCTTCCAATAAATCTCTAAATCATGCATTCTGACATCTTTATCATCATAATCATACAGTTTGCTTGGCATTTTCATTATTATCATAACATATATCACAATTAAATAAAATCTGGAACTCCATTCGATTAACAAATTAACCAAACATGGTTTTGGACACAACTTTGGGAGCTTGTTTAAAAAATAAAACCAATTCGCAAAATCAACTATATTTATTCAAACAATTTCGGAACATAATACAGAGACCATAAATATCGCATATTAATTAAACCCGGGAAAACCGAAGTAGCCACATATAGATAAAATAAAAATAAAAATTCCAAACAAAAGAATATGATGAAAGATGTGTCTTAAACTTAGGTAATAAATAAAAATAAAATAAAAATAAAAATAAAAAAACTTGGGTAATAAAAAAGAAGAGAGAAAAAGTAATTAATTATCACATGAGGACGCAGCCATTAGGATTCTCATCGCTGAAAAAGCCGTGCTGCTGCGGGTAATTATAGTAACTCATCTGCCGGTACTCCGGTGGTGGGCCGTACTCCGGCGGGGGAAGAGCGAGTGGGGGGCCGTACTCCGGCGGGGGAAGAGCCATCATGCGGTGGTTTTCGGGCGGGGGCGCTTGGTAGTGGTATTCCGGCGGCGGCGCGTGGATCTGATAGCGGCTGGGCGGCGGCTGGTGGGTGTAGTAATAATGGTCATCGTGGCCGAAATTCATCCTCCACATTCTGGCGTTTGTGTACTCGATGCTCCTAAGGTTGTGCATCCCGTCCAATTCCCCCATCTGCGGCCCAAATGGGCAGTGTCCTCTGGGCGGCGGCGGCGGCAACTGTCCGGACGGTGGCGGCAATGGTCCGGACGGTGGCGGCAACGGTCCGGATGGTGGCGGCGGTGGTCCGGACGGTGGGGGCGGCGGTCCTCCAGAGGGTGGTGGTGGCTGAGGAGAACCGCCGGAGGGTGGTTTTGGCCGTTTTGGCGATGAAGGGGGCTTTGGAGGTGGGGCAGCGGATTTCTTGCCGTGAGGTTTTCGACGCAATACGGAGAAATCCATATTGCGAATTGAGAATATTGCTATTAGCTTCTTCTCTCACATTATATTTATTGCTGTTATATTGGTATAATATGGAAATAGTATAATATTTTGATTTGATTTATGGTAATAGAAATCTTATGAGCTGTCTAAAAAATATATTCAGAGGTTAGATTTTGTTATATTTTCATTATTCTTGGACGCAAAATATATTAAGAGGTATGAATCCCGAGTGATAATTACGACTGAATTATATATATGTTAACCTAAAAATATGTTCCACTTAAAAATGTTGATTATGTTTTAGTTGAATTTGGGCGTGTATTGGTGCTGAATTTCTTTAGTTTTTTCTCACTTACTTATCACAATTTATCAATAAAATTAATAAGAAATAAATAAGCATCCCGAATCAACATGATGGTGTAAAAAAAAATCTCTAAAGTTATCCTACTTTTAAATGGTGATATGTATTAAATTTTTAAATAATACAATTTTATAACTTTACTGTGCGCATTGTATTTTAGGTTGTGGTATTATAATATACTAGTACAATACTCGTGTATTACACGGGTGCTTGTTAAAAAATAATTACACAGGTGCTTGCTAAAAAATTATTCTTAAATTATAATATTAATGAGAAAAAATATTTTAAATTTTATTTACTTTTTACAAAAAATATATATTATTATATATTTTAGAATAACATTTGTTACTTGTGCGACTTACGTGTGTTATATTATAGTAATTTTTATAACTTATATCATATAACTACTTGAACTATAAATATATTAATTGTTAAATAATTTTATTTTTCTAATTAAAATTAAAAAATAAATTTTATTATTGTTATAAAAAAGATAAACATAATTTATTTTTTTTATACACACAATATGGATGTTAAATCGAATCTTATCAAAAGATGATTAATTTGATATATTATATATATAAAACTGATAAAAAATACAAAAGTTATTAACTTTTAAAATACATTTACAATTTAATGGTTATAATAAGAAATGATATAAAAATACAATTAATAAAATGACCATAAATAATCAACATATTTATGGATAATCCCCACCTAATATTTTTGGATTGGAAGTAAACTAAAATCTACTCAAGCCTAATCCTAATAACGAAACATGTAATTTTGGCGTATAGGATCCCGAAACATACGAGTCTGTCATTTAGGCTTCTGATTTAATATATGGTCATTTAAAATTTAACCCTTAACCAGTATAACTGGTGTATAGCCTGTGCGATGCACGAGAAACAATATTAAAATAATAATTATAAATATGTCTCGTGTTTGAGTCATTAGATGGAGGAAGTGAGAACTACTATTAATCCTTTTAAAAAAAGAAGAAAAAAGAATAATTATAAATTAAAGATGAAGGTAAACAATATAAAATAATAATTACAAATTAAAGATGTGCAGTTAAACTAAGAGAACATAAATTTTGTATGTTTAAAATATTAAAAACATCTAAAATATTATATAAATAATTGTAAAAGTATCCAAAATTTTCTATATTATTTTTTAAAGATGTGAAGTCACTTACAACTTTTCTAAACTACCGTGGAAAAAAAATATTTAAACATTTAGATGTAACATGTGTATGTAAGATTTTTTAAACTGTAAAGAAAACATGTCTATAAATATTTAAACTTAACATGTGTTATGTATATGTGTGTGTATATATATATATGCATATATAGATAGAATATGTAAAAAAATATTCTAAACAATTTGTTTAAAATATCTAAATATTATAAGCGTAAATAAAGGCATTATCTCACACTAAAGTTGTTTTAGAGAAGATTTAGAAGATACCGGATGTTACTTCATCTGAAAATTTGACTACACAACATTTCAGAAATTATTATCATTTTTTTTTTAAGTTGTTATCATAAAAAATAATTTGTAACTTAACAATTTATCAATTTTACAAATACAAATTAAAATTAATGCAAAAGCTATCAATTTTACAAATACAAATCAAGATTATTTCATATCAAAATAATATGTAACAAATTAAATGAAATTTTATGTAATTGAGATCAAAGACAAACACTGGAGACGGTTTCAATTAACATTTACAATGTGTATTTAATGTTTTTTTGGCAAAAAATTCTTTCTAAGTGTGATATATTGATATTAAAAATACTTAAAATATTATATAACAAATATAAAAAGCATAAAAAATATTCTATATTATTCATGAAAAATGTTTGAAGCCACCTTAAATTTTTCTAAACTACTCCATAAGGAAAACATATCTAAAAATTCTTAATTTAACCTCCATATATTATATATATAGAGAGAGAGCAAATGCGTAAAAAAAATTATACAAATAATATTTAAAAGTATCTAAACTATATTGCGAACACATTATTTTTATTACTGTGATATTGATATAATATGGAAATAGTATAATATTTTGATTTGGATTATGGTAATAGAAATCTTATGAGCTGTCCATGAAATGGTTAACCATGAGAGGTTAGATTTGAACATTGAGAGGTTAGATTTGTTATGTTGAGGTTAGATTTGTTATGTTTTCATTATTCATGGAATAGAACGCGCAAAATATATTTATAAGATAGAGGTGTCATTCAAGTGTTCGAAAGACGAACAGAGATTTAATATTGTGTTAAAAAAAAATATAATATATAATAATTCATTTAATTATTGAATTTAAATTTTATTTAATACTTAAATAATTTAATTGAACTCACAGTGAATGGGCCCAATTAAAGAATACTAGTATAACTATATAAACTTAAAAGACTTCTCCAACAGCTCAAGTTCGACTATGCATATGAAGCCTATGGCATGAGCACCCTCGATTTTGTTGCTTTCATAGCCCTACTAAACTCAATAGAGGGTCGTGGAGAAATCCAAAATTTTGATCCAAAACACAACTTGATGAGTTGAATACTTACATGCGAGCAACTGGAATGATATATGAGTATATTATTACAAATGTGGAGCATTTTCTGACTGTCAACTGCCAACTCTTGATGGTTAAACAACTCTAACCGAGTAACAGACTACAAACTTGGAATCGACTGAAATGGTCCTTATGGTCAACAAATGGAATTGACTCCACAGTGAGTTGGGTCAAAGACGATGAACAAATCTATATATCTTTTTTAGGGGAGAAACATTTTGTTTTTGGACTTGCAACCTATAGTAATTTTTTCGGTAAACTGCAACTTGAATTTCACGAACATTTATAATTGGCACCTCTCCTGCATCTTGACCATACACATCCATTTTTTCGGAGGTTAAGATGTAGGAGAGGTTGCAATTTATGAATATTTACGAAGTTCAGTTGCATTTTCCCAAAGAAACTATAAGTTGCTATGTACAATAATGTTGTAGTCAATGTTTTACCCTTTCTAGGACTACAAAAATTACATAGGCAAAAATAGGTCATGATGCATCAGCTGTACGAAAAGCATTGTCATTAGCAAAATACAGAGATTTACGAGGACAATGGTTTTGTAGAACTTAACTTTCCCAGGTTTCACTCTCTTCGAACTGCTTGGCATCTATTTAGGTTGTCAAAAGCTCTTGCGGCATAGCAGTAGCCAGAACAGAACAACAGTTACTCTTGATTTAGTTTGTCGGTTTTATTATCACTTGTGGTAGAATATGCACTGCCCGGAATCTCAATAAAAAGATCGTCATCCATTTCCTTACTCTTGTACTCAGAGTCACAGCCCTGGCAACAAAAGTGAACAAGAATCACCTCACCAGGAAATCTATATATGGATATACATAATGCAGTTATTAAAAAATAGGTGAGTAATGTCAGCCCTGATATGTAGAATATAACACCATAAACACATCGGATGCTAGTTCAAAATTTCAATTAAAAATTATATCTATCATAGTTTAGGATCTGACTAATGCAGAAAAGCCATTCTAAAAGTCGGAGATGACTGGAAACAAAAATTTAAGTTTTATTTAATGACGAATATATGCACACACATATATGTATGTACATATATAAAACACGTTGCTAGATGGAAAAGATTATGGGTGATTTGATAAGTAGAGGTTCGAGCATATATTGGAGATTCCAAGCCAATGTAGTGATTGACCGATCCAAATCTTTTAGTTGAGTTGTTTAGTAAACATGGGTCTGGGTTAGCATTTTGTGCTTAAAATGTCTTACAAAAAGCTGGAAAAATGTCTTACAAAGAGATTGGCGAGGTTGATTTAAATGAAAGTTTACTAAACACATTGCTTGTCATAATGGTATCAATTTTTCTCTATATCAAAAAACATTCTAACCCAGTTAATTGTGTAACACCTTGTTCTATAATGAGCATGTGTGAACCAACTACAGAACTACAGAGTTGATATATTTAATAGCACAGACCAATATCTACTCCAGTAAATCCATAAGTTAATTTCAACAGAAAGCAAAACAAAATATTTTCGCAGGAAAATCACAGCACCTGCAGCACATTATCATTTTTTGTAGACTTGTCGGCATTTATTAGGTCCTGCATTGCCTCTTTGAGTTGTTTCTTTGCTTTGTTTCTAGTAATACGGCGCTCAGAACACTGTGCGGTGGTGACATCAGCATGACAAGCAACACAGAGGGTCCTCAAGTTCTCAAGCTTGCATTCACCTGGAACTCAAACAGAAAATTCATCATAAATGAATAAAAAGAAGAGAGAAAGTATGTCCACCAGAACCATAAGCTCACTTCAATTAATTACACCATCTTCTGCAATTCAAGTAACCATGCCCACACAAAGACATATTTATAATGAACTTGCATTTCAAGTAGATGAATTAAGTTTATGTTGTTTGATTACAATAGAAAAGCACTAGAATAGAACAGCACCTCCCCCTTTATACACAGGTATAATGTGATCCGCATGCCAAGCATTGCCTTCTGTAGGGTCATTAACAAGCTTGTCCACTCTGCAGAAAATGCCAAACCAACTTTATTTGCGTCTTTTGTTGACAGAATGATGGAAATTCAATTTATGGAAGGATAACTATCACAACTGCTTATTGAATGCATATCCGCAATCAGGTAAAGAAAGAGAAAGGCTATGAACATCATGCATGCACGCTCAGAATATGTCAGTCTTGCAAAAGAAACTGTACTTGTCAAGTAGTGAAGTGCCTAACCAGTTACATTATTAATATTTCTCCAGAAATCATCTATCTGAGTTAGAATTAAAATGCTGATACTTCTCCATCTACCAAATTCTGGAAGCCCAGCAACACTGCTTGGGTTGATGTATATTTACATGAATATATTGACTTATATTTATTTATAGTATGGTGTAACATCAATCAACCCAACCAAGTCGAGCGTACCTTGGTCCATAGAACGATTGTCTAGAACAGGGTTTCAAACTAACCTCTATGCTTATAAAGTTGCAGAACTATCTAATGGGTCTCAGAAAAGCCATAACAAGCTTTCATGCCAAGGCAATTCGTCATCTCAATCATGAATAGAACACAACAATTTTTTCTGGGAAAAATAGAATACCCCATCCCTTCACAACAAGCACAACCCATGCCAACAATACTTCAATAGAACCATAACCCAAGTGCCATAAGAACCTCTATCAAGATGAGGTTTAACCAGATACCTGCTACCTATTAATGATTGTTGAGATAATCTTTTTTGAAAGACATCCGTTGATAGTTTTTTTGTTTTATAACAAGAAAGAAAGTCTCGAGTGATATTCAGTTGGTTATAACTTATTTTCCATTTCAAATTTAAGCAATATACAATGTATCACAACTTAAATTTTTATAAGGCCACATTGAATCATTAAATTGCATGATGATAGGGTTCCGAAGCAATGACTTCAGAAAGTCATGATGTAGGTCGTTACATTTGACGAAATAATTGCACTTCCAATTAATATGAGACAACAGTTTGAAGAATTGGACACAACACAATGGTGATGTATAATAAGAGTATAGATTATTCAAAGTGGACAGATGACTACTAGTGGTCATCGTGATAGTATAGGGCAAGAGTTCTCAAACAAAGGCTTGCAATGCACTTGAAGGCTTCAATTCATAAATAAGATGATAGAGAAGCTGAACATACAGTTTATGGCGTTTTGATATTTTTAAAGCCTCTTTCTGGATATACGCTTCTCGCTTCTCAATTGGTAAAGTTTTCAAGTTCTTCACTAATTGATGACAATTCACTTTGCAATTTGTGCAAATGCCATTCTCAATTTTGAAAAGCTCCTGCAATTGTCTTAAAGTTAGTCAAAGTAGGATAAGTTGGGAATGTGTGGTGACGAGTGATTCAACTCCAACCTGGCGAAGAAATCTATTGCTAGTTCGTGAGCGATACTCTTCAAAGCATTGCAAATTACAAAACAGGTCTTCGAAATATTGAGGCACTGTAGCATTGATTCCCCTGCCATGGAAGAACTAATCAATAACTTGTATTATTTTTTACAAGAAAATAAAAAAGGAAAATCAAGTAAGACCTATAACCTACCTGCAGGGAGTCTGGCATAGCTTGCAGAGGGGTTCATTTACATCAGTCCAACCCTGAGTGTAGAGTTTCTCTTTCTGACCATGATCACTATTTAGGCTGACTTTTCTCCAGGAAGCATTTGACGGTAATGGACAGCTTATCTCTGACATAGGTGTTTTACGCCTTTTACTTCCACCTCTCAATAGTCCCTTACAAAAATAGGCAGAATTGTGGTCAACCATATTAAAGAAGAAATTTGAATAGTTCATGCAACTGGAAAGATTGCACTTACAAAGAAAGCACCGCATGTAAAAGAAACTAGATGTTAGGCACTCCTGATACCCAATATAAACTACATTTGCATACCTCAATATCATGGGTCAAGCTTTCATTCAAATAGCAGAGTTCATAAGACAGTGGAAGTTGCAAGGGTTTATTCATCAATTTCTTCTTCTCAATCGGCCTGAGCTCCTTCCATTCCTTGATGAAATCCATAAGAGCTCCAATATATAGTGAAATATCTTCAGGGGACTTATCACCAGATTTCTCATTAATCTCTGCAACTGAGTGGCATTCGATTTCTTCTTGCCGAAAATTCTTAAAAAGTGGTGTTGGTCTTGAATTAGTTCCTGGGATACAGGAGTACAAGTGGATCCTTCCAGTATGCTGGCTTATCTGTGCACCCAAAAAATTTCAGGAAACTGTTGATACCATATAAAAGCGAAGGTCTCGTCATAGAAAATAATCTGATAGGAGTGCTACAACTTATATTGTGAGTTACAGCACTGCTAAGTAAGATTTAACAAAAGTAATATAGAAAGGAAAAGACCGATTGTATTTCTTATGTTCCAAGGAACAGTGTACATAATATAGAAACACACACACAACTAATATAAGAGCAATATATAAATGCTGAGTTTTCCGAACCTATGTGTCAGGTTCTGGTTTTTTGTAATCCTATGAATCTATTTTTGGTGCTTTGTAATCCAATATGTCAAGTCCATATAGATCTGTCCATGCCTATAAGACTTTAAAATTTATAATAACACTTCTTTCAAAAATTATAAATAAATTTTGAAAACTAGTAACTTTCGTATATGATTTATCAAATTAATACTAGATTTGATTATTGACATCCATGTTCTATATATAAATAAATATCCATATTTTACATTACTAATAAAAATTATATTATCTATCAAGTTTAATTGGAAAATAATAAAATTATTTATCAACTAAATAAATATATCTATCAATTCCGTTATATGAATTAGAAAAATTATTATAATATAAAATGGTTAACTCATACAAGTGACATTTTAAATATAAATAATGTGATTCTTTTAGGAATTGTTGAAAGCGTAAAACAACTATCCAAATTGATCACGAAATCGGCCACCACAAAGGTGATCATAAAATTAGGACAAAACTATGATAATACGCAGAAATATGGCAAATGTGCATGATGACTAGGTGGCTACAGTGGCAAGAAAATCTGATCAGGTCCACTGACGTGGCCTCTGATACCAACTCAAAATTGAGACTTGGACATTGAAGAGAGAACTATAAATTCTTGCTTGAAAAAGAATCTCAGCATCAAAACCTTTTTTATAGAATGTACAGACTGTTAACTATAGGGATTGGATCAAGTAATTACAGTGATCATAGTTCAACATTGATCTTGTCATCATTTTCTGCTTATGCTTGTTTACCTCTACATTAACTCAATTCCAGTTAGCTATGTACTGCATAGAAGTTATTCATATATTTTCTTTAGAAAAAAAAAAAGCACCCAAAAAAAGGGAAAAGAATGAGATGAAACAATGTGCTAATCTATAGATAAAATTATTGTTCTACCTCAAACCGAAGATGGGCTGATTGCATAGAACTTTTCACCTCAAGTTCACCTTCACTGACACACTTATCTTCATTTAGCATGATTCCACTTTCATGCTTTTCATCACTAGCATCGAGCACATTCGTGTTTGTGTCACAAGATGCCACTGGAAGTTGCGAGTGCGATTCAAGATTTAAACAAGAATTTTGAAATCTTATTGGTTGGTCCCCCTTCCCACTCGTATCTGTGGTGTTCTCAAAATCAGAAACACGCTCGACCTAGCATGATTCAACCCAAATACAGAGGAAGTGTTTGGAAAGGAACTACAAGCATAACTACTATAAAGCTAAAACAAAAAACCCATCCAATGGAAGTGCTACAGGTAGAAATTAAAAGTATTTAATATACGGCGCTTTCAGGAACCTCGTAAGGGAAGAACAAAGAGCATTGATATACACAGGTAGATCCCTCACGAACAGAAACCAGATTAAAAATATAATGGCAAATTTAACAGCATAAATTGGTCTGATGCAAGACCCTGCAATCTGGTCCACCCATCTCTTCTACCAAACATGCATATGAGCACTCAAAAATTGTATTCTATATGCCATAGTCCTTACGTATTGTCGCTCTGAGAAAGTTAGTCTAACGAGAGCATTGATCCCTCTAAGCTTATATATTTTTAAGCATCATCAAAATATATAGAACTACAAAAATGATACCTCTATTTCCTGTATAGCGTCATGCTTTCCATTCACTGTACAGGAAACAGAAAGCAAACTCTTATTCAGCTGCTGCCACTGTAACTCATCCGAAGTGTCCTGATAGTCAAAGAGAATGGACAAATATTAACCCCTCCACACTAAATAACGTAGAAAATAATTGTGAAAGATAGCCAACTGATATATTATATGTTAGAAAGACACCTTTGCACAAAAAATGTAAATGTTCACTGGTCTCGTCTGCCCATGCCTATGAGCACGATCTTCAGCCTTCAAATGGTTTTATTTATAAGCAGCATTATTTGGAATACAAGTATTATCACAAAAAATATAAAACTTCAAGTATCACGATAAACATGAACTTCCATGCCGTCACAGACTGATAATAATGGAAAGAAGGAATTGATAGTAAATACCCAAATAGTCTGATTAAGTGAAACAGAAAAAAGAGTTACATGTACTTCCTTGTGGTAGATTAAAGGTACAAACAGAAACTTTGGAAAATGACAATTGTCAGCTTCTTGAAAATCCTCATGGAAATTCATAACATAGGAACAAAGTCAAGAAGAAAAATATTTTTTTACATGGAAGAGATTGACTTAATCAAGATGGCCCTGGGTATTCTCTACCTACCCACCTGTGTAGGTTGATTGATGCATAATGATCATAGAGCTTTCATACTCTGTCAAAGGTACCTGTTGAATATCTCCTGGTGTCGTAGGTAATTCCAAGAACACAACATTATCTGCTGACGTTAAATTAAGCCCAGAGCTTCCAGCACGAATACCAATCAACGCAATCTTAACCTGAAAGAAAACTCAAATGACTTTCTTATGAATAAGTTGAAGTTCACAAAAAACATTTTGATACAAAGATCTATGTTCTTTGTACAGAACTAAAATACTAAGAAATAAATGAGTTTACGGGAAACTTCAGCCAGGTCCATAAAACTAGGAAATACAGCATTGGGATTCTGAAGCAGTAAAAAGAGAAGCAAAAGTTTGCTACAGGTACTACACTACATAAAGCAAAAGCTAGTCAACCCAAAGGAAAAGGGTCAAAAACTAAACATAAATACCATAGAAGGACTAGTCACATTAACACTCTAGAAAGGATGAAGAAAAGAACATAAACAGACCTTCTTTGATAGTTGGAAAGACTGGATAGCTGACTGTCTATCATTACCAGTTACGGTGCAATCAATACGAACAAAATGAGTTCCTTTCTCACATAAAAATGCCTGTATAACATAACATGAAGGTGAGAACATACAAACACATCTATATCAGTACACGAATCTGAGCATGCTGCATAGTTACTATAACACAAGAAAAACAGTTGACTGAAAGTACATGCAATGGTAATATAAGTTCACAAGGTTTTTTATGAACAATAATTCAAGAAAGATGTCCTCATTATTTGCACATAAGAAAATTGTATTTTTATCTTTTTCAACACAAGATGCATAAGCTCTGTTGTATGTAGCATATATGAAACTTTACATGTCAAGTCTTATAAACTATTAGGACATAGATCATATTGCAGAACCCATATAGACAACCATGGGACTGTTTTGCTATGAGATTCCATAAAGATTGTACTTCGAGATGTTCAGAGAGGAATCAGACAGCAAAAATGTTTGAATCTTAACAAACTAACTTGATAACAATCACAACACTTACTCACAACTTCAGTTTACAAGATAAAAAGGCGATTTCTTCTGTCTTGATCTTTTTAGTATTTACAAGCATATCTATTCCTGAAATTTTTTCACAGCCCAATCTTTTCATGATTGTCTTGCTCCATAAAAAGTATAGCCGCAAGTCCAGAAAATTATGTAAATTGTAAAGTCACCTATAGTTTCCCGATACAGAAATACTTCAAACAATTGAGATATGAACTATGAAGTACAAAATTTTGAGAATACCAAAACTTTGCAAGGGCAAAGTTCTCCCCCCTTTGGCAGACATTTAGTCTCTACTCCCTCTACAAATATGGAAGTCTTTCGCGCTTGCATTACACAGAATTTATCCACTCTTTGTATTTGACAGACATGATATTTCAAGTTAAGGAACCAGATATTAAGAGAATAATTGTTCAAATCAGACAACCATAAGAAGGTGTTAGGCACAAACATAAAACTAAAAAGAGAAGGTAATTCATACCTGCACCCCATCAAGCACCTTATGGTGATAAGCAAATACTATCATTTTGTGGGAGCTGGAACTCTCTTCGGAGGTTCCGTTTCCATCTGCCTCTACCATTATCGGATGTATAGAGAGCCACTCAAGGAATCCAGCCAGCTTTGCTAAACCAAGGGCCGAGAGCTTATGCGACAATTTCTTATTCATGTCAATATCTGCATGGTCAGGAAAACAAGCCATGTGGATAATAATACAGCAATGGTAAAGAGATTAAACGGGACATTTATGTTACTTGTGCAGATGCAATGACAGACACTCAACATTTTGAAGCTTTAAAAACAATAAAGAATACGAGTTCAGTTCAATTTCTAGTAAGATAATCATCATTATAAAACTTTCAACATGATAAAGTAGAAAGAGCGATAAAATGGCATATAACCATTGTGCATTCGACTAAAACAAGAATAACAATAGGTGTCTATTTCATGCACACGGTGAAATTCATGTTTGTCAATTGTTATACATCAATAGAGATAAGGAGGGTTTTCAGCATAAGTGGCCGTAGGCGTAACAACCACAACAACAAAAACAATAATAGTGATACATCAAGGAATACCTTCATCTTTGTCAGAAACATGACAAGGAGCGTTTTCAGCATTAGTGTCCGCAGACGCATCACCACTTTCAATCCCAAGAGTCACCATCGCAGAATTTATATCTGACTTCCTTAAAACTAATTTAATAATCTGACGACGTTTGGGTGGTAGCTCCAGCAAAACGTTCTCCTTTAGGCGTCTTATCTGTAATTCATGTGCAATCGATATCAGCAACAATTACTGTTTTTATTAAATACAAAGAAAAGGACAAAAAGGAATAGAACACGAGGAGGTTAGTTATATGGTTTCCCCATACTGTAGATTAAGAATTTACAAAATTAGTTCAACAAAGTGAAGAACACTTCTGTAAGGCTGTTATTCATTCAAGTGAGGTAATGATAGCAGTGGAAATTCAAGATATCCTAAACAACTCTTCTAAAGATGACTGACTGTAGTAAATTTAGAGGAATATTATAGTGACTCCAAAGATAACGCAATTCTTAAGACTTCAGAAAGAAAACATAGCCATAGCTAAAACCAATGATCTACATCAGCCAAGCAGCTCGTTTGGCGGTGAGCTGCTTGCAGCAAAAAGGCCTTCGTGGGATCCTAGAAATATTACTACTACACGTATAGATTTGTAACACATAATAACAATAGCCATCATATGATTCATAGAATAGTGAAAAATAATCAAACCTATTCGATTTATATATTCGGGGGAAGGGGTGCGGTCCTATAGGGGTGAAGCGCACCTTAAGAGGGCGAGCCTAGTTGTCACCTTAATGAAGTTGCCTCCAAAAACCAATTGGTAATGAGAGGAGTAGCCCACTAAGCTCATAAACTGGGCCCATTTTCCCTATTTATTCAATGTGGGACAACTGAGAAGTGATATTCCAATACTCTACCTCACTTGCGAGTACTTTAACCGTCAAAGATCACAGCTCGGTTAACAAAGTCATCACAGGTCCTATATTAGGCGTACTTTGATACCATATTGGATTTATATATTTGGGGGAAGGGGTGCGGTCTCATACTCAAATAGGGGTGAATTACACCTTAAAAGGACGTGCCTATTTGTCACCTTCGTGAAGTTCCATCCGAAAACCAATTGGTGATGGGAGGAATAGCCCACTATGCTTATAATTATAAAGTAGGACCATTTTACCTATTAATTCATTTATTCAATGTGAGACAACTGACAAGTCATATTCCAACAAATCAAATTGAAAATATAAACCAGCATGATACTTTGACAAGTATTGGATTTATTATCTTCGAATCATCTAAAAATACATTAGAACCTTATTAATTTTTTTAAATCCACTTTACCATATACCATAAAAGTGTAGAAATAAGGAGAAAAACAATAAGGGGGACTAGCCCGCCTAATGACACTTATCCTGAGTGTCTGAAAGGTCGATTTGGCCGAAATGGAGAGCCCAGAGGCCAACTAGGCTGATATTTGTGGTTAAACCATTAAAATAAAATGAGAATCGCAGTCTACACTGCCTTACCATAACACTTTGCTTTAGTAACACATTTAATTCCTCCAAGCGTATCCCCTTTGAGAAATCCTGCAGCATAGATATGATAACACATAGAAAGTAGCATTGCTCAGCAAACAAAAATTATTAGAAAATAATACCACGTGCAAGTAAAGAGAAAAATTAGGTGACTGAGGCTAGCAAAATGAGAAGTTCCCTTTTATTCGATCCGGTCAGGAAAATATCACAAACTGGCAATAATTTGGCCTTCAAACATATACCATCAGATCTTCATATGAAGCTAAACAATACCTGATAAAATCTTCCTTGACAACCTTGGGCAAATTTGACAGAGCAATAAGTTTTTGCAAACTCATATTTGGTCTTTCCAAGCAAACCTGGCCTGCATCAATTTATAAAAATTACAAATATATTAATTAAATTGGTTTACAACAAACTCGATGCTAAGAATGATGTACTAACTTACCACAACATGTTTACTTGATGAAAAATGTCATAAGGCCTGTTATCACCTAGGAAAACGTTAAACCCAAATTAGTGCTCACTTAAGTATTTCCTGACACAAACAAAGATAACTTATTGGGGAAAGTAGACAGTTATTAAGATATCATAATGTCTATAGAAGTGAAAACAGAAACATATATAAAGATGACTAAAAAGTAGGACGATTTCAGCAACCTTGACAAAGAGGGGGTTCCTGATAGTAAAATAAGATGCTTGACCTTTGTAGCCATGTCAAGTACAGCTTTTAGCTACACAAAAGTGAAGATGTTAAAAGGGTGACCAAGACAATAATCGCTATATGAGCATGTTCACTACTATCATATAAGTTAACCGGACTCGCTATTTGATATTTATATGCACAAGCTCATGCAACCCTGCTTTGACAGATAAAAAACAATCATTTAAAATTTTGAATTGGCCCCACCACTAACATGATCAATTGAAGTAATGGCACCTTAATTATTTTAGAAAATAAATAAATAAAGAATCAAGTTACATATTTTAAGTGCAGAAAGCACTTGTCAAACATTATCATTGATGATTCAATTGCATAAAAGATTTAATTGGGAAATTGAAAAAACACATTTTTAAAATAACTTCCAAGGCAAAGATGATCAAATAACCCAGTAATAATACAGCAACCATGTCATATCCTTCAACTACTTATATAAAAATGAAATAATGATGAAGTATGTCAGTCATGACAGCAGCCAAGAAACTGTCTGTAACAAAGTACCAGAAGGATCAATAGGCACACCACAATCATACAAAATGCCTGATAAAAAATCAGATTCAGATTGATTCAATCTTCCATATTGTATTTAAAATCTTAAAAACCAAATATAAATGCATAAGTTATATAAAACAGATACGGAGATAGAAAATATTATGAAAGGCATTAGCTAGATACAATCAGCTAGTGTTTAATGTAGTAATTTTCTGGGAAAGCGACTAGATCCATATGAATGTTGCAAGCATATATCCATGTTCTACTGTCTATATGAGACTAGAAAATCATCTTTTGAAAGCTTTGAACCTCATCTTTTTCTACTGCTTTTTTGTTACAGTGTAGGTGATGCGATTCGTCAACAATCAAGGTGGCCCACTTTTGCTCCAACATGCTACTTCGCAAACGACGAAGCATAGTGTATGATATCACCACAATTTTGGGAAGTTTAGGCAACCGTGCAGGATTGTCTTGATGGCCAAAAACTGAAAGGAAAATACAAAAAGGAAAACCGGCACAAATCGTATGCACCCAATAGAAGATACAAAGACAAGTTAATTCCACATCACCAGTAGTAAGCTAACGACGAAACAACTATGGTTTAGATACACAAAATCACAATAAATGGAATTGTGCCAGTAATAATAACATAAAGCTTCATGTTCAAACCACAAACAAAAGTAGTACAGTGATTTATAGCGTGCCAAGAACTACCTTGGGTCAAGTTCTGTACTCAATTGTAGAATATGAAGACGAAAGAAGGCCACAAATGCAAGAATATGTCATTCTCGAAGAACAAATCAAGATAAGTTCAAGTAAGAGATAATGGGACTACATAACTCAAGTTAGGAGTTAACACTACAGAAATTACCAACTACTCCATGTGTGTACTTGAACTAAATTATTAGAAACGAATAAATCATCCCATATTTTGAACTGAACAATTATGTTGATAATAGTGCATTCCGTAAAGATACCTAGGTGAACATCAGAAGGCAGACAACAAGGAAACCAGCGCTCCAACTCCTCAGCCCATGTATGTCTCAAAATAGCAGGACAGATGATTAGTATGGAACCTTCCTTCATGAAACAGCCTGCAATCGCAATAGCCTAATACAAACCATTAGTCGTCAGATAAAAACGTCCTTTAATTGCTAGTTGTAAGTGCATAGTGAATAGAACGGCACTTTCTGACGCAGTAACCATCACATGATTAGGTACAAACATAAAACTGCGAGAAATCACACAACAGCAGTTTTAGTTCCAATTGTGTTTCTTTTGCTTCACAGTTTCTTCACCATAACCCCAAGAACAGAGATCTAATCATAGTTTCAACTTATGAGACTTCCAAGAAACAAGCTGAAGAGCAACATGTGGCAATTGCAAAATCGCGTCTGGAACAAGTTGTAACCTTGCATCTCTGAAAAATCCTTCACAGTGGTACTTCAAAAACATTTTTGCTCATGCTTGTGTTCCAATTCACCCTTGTTTCATGGTGTGTAACATTTAACTATTTACAAGGTATGTACGTCAAACATACAGATCATTCTCAAACTCATAAAACAGGAGTCCGCTTTTCAAATTCTAAAATCATAAAATGAGTCTGGTTAACAAGTTTACTTCATAAAATACAGATGGTTATATCACGATAGTAAAACCTGTATAGATTATAGATAGAGCTCATCAGAAACTGAATAAATACACGGCAGCCTATAGAGTTCATGACTGCTTTCCTACCTGGAGGGTCTTCCCCAGCCCCATTTCATCAGCAATAAGGCAGCGACCACCCCTCCTCAGTCCAAAACGAACGCCATCGAGTTGAAAAGGTAATAAAGCATTTAACAAAGATTTGGGGAGCTCATCAATCAACTCATCTACCTTCTCTTCAGGGAGATGCTCAGGTCTACAAGGTATCCACCGTCCAGCAATAAATGAATGTGAAAGCTTCTCGACAACATTCAAGGTTCCCCAAGGTATCTCTTCACACTCAATGTCCTTGCAATTCTTTAATGACTTCAGGACCAAGTGATAATCATAAAGCCTGTAAGCAAAGGACTGGCCACCACCAATGTTCTGGGTGTAGCGAGATAAAACCTGGTCCAGAAAAAATATATAATTATTTATTAACCAACTACTTTATTGCTCAAGAAGAATGCAATAGAACCCATTCAAAACAAAAAAGATGATTTCGACAAGCGCCATATATTCACCTAGGGAAAAGAGTTATTTATTTTTCCTACCACTGGGAAATAAATGAACCTCATTAGTTATTTCGTAACAGATAAGGCTTTATAATCCTAGATGAACCACCAGAAAATAGCATTAGTAAAAATGATGGGCAGAATAGTAGTAAGGCTACTCTAGCTCTGCAACAAGCTACACACATAAAAATTAAGTAACTCCTTCGGATTCTGTAACGTGGCCACCACATATCCCATCTACATTTTATTTAATACGCCATCCAGTTCGCAAAATCAATAAACTACAGAACTTGATCTTCAGTGTGAAGGAAATAGACTTTTATCCCCATCATCATTAACATACGCAACCCATGAACTTTTATGCTTGTATGCTAACTAAATGTCACCTGGCGATTCTAGAATCATAAATATGTTATGTTATTCTAGAATTCAAAACCAATTCTTCAAGGACGTCTTCAATCCACATTTGGTATATATTTTCTAAAGGTTGGAGAAAATTTTCGAATTACACTGGATAGACGATCACTCAGCGTCTGAAAGCAAACATCTTCGCCAGGAAATACAAAACCCTCAACATGAACAGGAGTGATTGAAAAAGAATCCGGCGAGCAAATTTCGAACCGAGCGCGAAATTTCTCCGGATTTAGGCTTGTCTTAATCGAATCAGCAGCAATAGGCTGCTTCGGAATGGCGATGGCCTTGGGAGAAAGCTTGCGGCATTTGAAGAGTGACCAGGGGTTGTTTGTGAGATGAGTGGCTCGTTCAGTGCTCGAGAGCGCGGCCTTGCGTTTGGCAAGAGCAGCGGCTCGGTTTGCGTCGGCCCGTTTTCTTTGTTCCTCACTGATTTCTTCCTCTCTTTCCATTCACTCGGAACTTTCAGTTGATTTTTAGTTTGAAATATGAACAGAGGAGAGGGTGGGAATTGTGTCAACTAACCCAGTAACAATTTGTTTAAATGATCTTTGACCCAAATTTTACAATAAAATTTAATAAGTAATCATATTAAATTATCATTTATCAATATATCCTTAACACAAAATTTGATAAATCTTCACTTTATTTTCCAGATTTTCTTTCTTCATTCATTTTTTTCTTTGTAATCGCCCGCCCCTATCTCGCTCTCTTCTTCCTCGCCCTCACTCTCTGCTTTTCTTCTTGCTCGTCCTCTATCGCCTCTCTTCACGCTCACGCCCTCTCGCCCGGCTCGTCGCAGTCACTTCCTCTCGTCCGATATCTCTCTCGGCTCTCTCTCAGCTGTCTCTCCATGGAACTCTCTATTGTCAATGTTGATAAGAAATTTTTTTAAGGTTCATTTTTTTTCTTCAGTTTTTCTTAAATTGTTTTTGGAAAGGGTATAATGATGTTGAACCCTTTGTGTTTAGAATTATTTTCCAAGCATGCTAGATTTATTAAGTTGAAAAAGAAAAATGAGTTTATGTGTTATGTGTTAATTGAAGAAGAATGACGTTTGAAGAAGAATTTTTTGATATTGTAGTTATTTTGTAATGTATTGTGTTTAAAGAGATGAAAGTGGGGTTTATTGTTTAATATGTGTTATGTATGAAAGTGAGGTTAATAGTTGAAATGCTTGTAGGATTGAGTTGGTGAATTAGTACACTTTATGTGTTTGATGAAATGCTTGTAAGGTGAACTCTATGTGTTTGATTAAATGATTGTAGGATTGAGTTGATCAACTGAAAATAACGAGACTTCTATGTTTGTAATGTAATATATAACGAATGTACGGAATTGTGGAAACGACTATATTCTTGTAAATGAAAGAGAAGGCTTGGGTGGTATATTTTGTGCCATGTGGAGACCTTACATGTTGAGCCATGTTATGTGTGCAATCTTGCTGTATATGTTTATTTTTTAGGCTAAGTTTTAGTTTTGGTGGACTTAACCTATTGGATAAAGTTTGAGAAATATTGACCTAAGATAAGAAAAGAAAAGGAATTTGTTTTTGCTTTGACTCTATGTTGCGTTAAGGCTTTGTTGTGGCTTTTAGAACCTAGTATCCAAAATGTTCCTTTATCTTAAATCGTCTTTGTTTAAAATATAAAAAAAAAAAAAAGGGTAAATTGGCATGTTTCCTATTGTTTTGTTCGCAATGTATACATGTATGGTGTATCTCTTGAATTGATGTAAGTTAAGGATTTTAGCATTGTGTCATAGGTTATTCTTCTAAGTTTCAATTTGTAAGAGAGGTGCATGTTGAGTAGTATTTGACCTTATTAGAATGAAATATTTTAAGGCTGTTACATGTATGAGTTTTGATAAGCCAATATTTAGTCAAGCTTCAGTTTAATAGCATGCTTTAAGGTTGTTAAGTTCAAAGAATAACAGAAGCTCGATATAGAATAAAGAATCGTTTTATTAGTATCCTTTAGAAATGAGTTAACTTATAACTTTAACGAGTAAAATATCGGTATTATATTGTGAATGTACAGGTGTATTTAATTGACCGAGATAAAAATATACCTAAAATGAAGATTCATTTGTTATGGTGTATGAATAACGAATGTACATTCTTATGTATTAAATTAAAACCAATAACGAGAGTATCTTACAACAATTATTATAGTAATTTTAGAAACGACATTATATACCTAATTTAAGCTCCTTGTTTGATCTATTTAAGTTCAGTGTTAGTACTTACTGCTTGTTTGATCTATTATGAAACTTGGTAAAGTAATAGAATTTGTACATTTATGCTGCAGGTTTGATTGTGGGATGTTTACAATCAAGTTTATAGAATTTTTGCATGCTGGGAAGAATGTTGAAGGCGTAGATCAATCTCGGATTAGTGCTTGGCGTGTAAACCTAGCGGCTGAAATATTTGGTTCTCATTTTGATCCATAGTTTATTTTAAACATTCAATATGTAACGGGTTGTAGGGATCTTTTGGATAATCCATTTTTGTATTATATTTCATGTGTTTTTCAATGCAATGATGCGGGTGGTCGATTTTTGAAGTTGTATTTTTTCGTACTTCCCAATGCAGTGGTTATAATAGTATTTTATCAAAATGATTAAAAATATTACTGTAACGAGAAGTTTTAATGTAATAAATAACGAAGGGGTTCGATACCGAGCTCCCGAAAATAAGTCGAGGAACCGATTACAAGTCGTTTAAAAAATAACAAATGTACAATCGTTATTTTTTTTATGAAATAACGAATGTACATTCGTTATTTCGAAAAAAAATAAAACTTGCTTGTCGCTGGCGCGACGTCCGTCGCGGCCGCGATGTCCTAGCAACCTTCTCTGTCCGACCAAGAACAGGGCCCAGTGTCGCGCACGCGACACATGTCGCCACCGTGACATGTAGTCGTTTCAATATAACGATTGTACAAATGTTATTTTGTATGAAATAACTCGTTATTGTGAAAAAATAAAAAATAAAACTTGTTTGTCGTGGGCGAGACATCTGTCGTGGCCGCGACATCTTGGCAACCTTCTCCGTCCGACCAAGAATAGAGCCCGGTGTCGCTCCCGCGACACATGTCGCGACCGCGACATATAGTCGTTTCAATATAACGATTGTACACTCGTTATTTTGTATGAAATAACGAATCTACATTCGTTATTTTGAAAAAAAAAAATAAAATTAAAACTTCCATGTCGCAGGCGCGACATCCTGGCAACCTACTCTGTCCGACCAAGAACAAGGCCAGTGTCGCGGCAGCGACGGATGACGCGCTCGCGACAAACATTCGATTTGAAATAACGATTGTACATTCGTTATTTTGTATGAAATAACGAATGTACATTCGTTAGTTTGAAAAACATGACGAATGTACTCTCGTGATGGTTATTTTGATCTCAGTCGATTATAAAGAAATCAATAAAATGTTAGTCGCTTTAATTCCGGATATGTAACATTAATATACATGCGTTATCAAGTAATTCGATCTAAAAAACCATAAAGAAAGTGCGTTTGTGTCGAAAAACAACAATAACGAATGTACATTCGATATGGTTGTTTTTTCGACCAAATCCACCTTAAACGACCGTTCATTCTTCATATAATACATTATAAAGATATTAAACTCGTTATAGGTCTAATTTTGGTCATTTTTAAGTTAAAATAACGAATTTACAAAGATATTACATGATCTTTCCATTTTTCAAAAACAAAAAAAACAAAAACAAGTATTGTTATTTCAAAAAAATAGTTTCTTTATGAGTGTTTCGACGCTCTAACACCTTCAAACTATCGTTCCGATGACATGTAACATTAATATACTATCGTTATCAAGTAATTCGATCGGAAGAACCATAAAGAAAGCGCGTTTATGTCGAAAAACAATAATAACGAATGTACATTCGTTATAACGAATGCACATTCGTTATGGTTGTTTTTTCGACCGAATCCTCCTTAAACAACCGTGCATTCATCATATAATACATTATAAAGATATTAAACTCGTTATAGGTCTAATTTCGGTCATTTTTAAGTTAAAATAACGAATTTACAAAGATATTACATTACATGATCTTTCCATTTTTCATAAACAAAAAAAAAAAAAAAAAAACAAGTATTGTTATTTCAAAATAAAGAGTTTCTTTATGAGTGTTTCGATGCTCTAACACCTTCAAACTATCGTTCTGATGACATGTAACATTAATATATGATCCTTATCAAGTAATTCGATCGAAAAAACTATAACGAAAGCGTGTTTGTGTCGAAAAACAACAATAACGAATGTACATTCGTTATGGTTGTTTTTCGACCAAATCCACCTTAAACGACCGTGCATTCGTCATATAATATATTATAAAAATATTAAACTCGTTGTAGGTCTAATTTTGGTCATTTTTAAGTTAAAAAGAACGAATTTACAAAGATATTACATGATCTTTCCATTTTTCAAAAACAAAAAAAACAAGTATTGTTATTTCAAAAAAGAGTTCCTTTATGAGTGTTTCGACGCTCTAACACCTTCAAACTATCGTTCCGATGACATGTAACATTAATGTACGATCGTTATCAAGTAATTCGATCGAAAAAACCATAAAGGAAGCGTGTTTATGTCGAACAACAACAATAATGAATGTACATTCGTTATAACGAATGCACATTTGTTGTGGTTGTTTTTTCGATCAAATCCCCCTTAAACGACCGTGCATTCGTCATATAATACATTATAAAGATATTAAACTCGTTATAGATCAAATTTTGGTCATTTTTAAGTTAAAATAACAAATTTACAAAGATATTACATGATCTTTCCATTTTTG